GCCGCCGTCTTCAACCGACCATACAGGGTGCCCCCCACCCCTCTAAGGGTGGGTACCCATTTATCTACTTGCAATTAGGTTGCTTTCGAACCGATGTGGCTAAATATCCCAGGCTTGGAAATTCTGAGCATAAGAACACCCGAAGAACCCCGCTGGATCAGACCAGGGAGGGTCCATCTAGTCCAGCAGCCCATCTCACACAGTGGTCAACTGTGTTCCTCTGGAGGGCCAGCAACAGGGCAGAGAGGCCGAGGCCTTCGTAAGAATGTCAGAAGAGCCCTGCCGAATCAGACCAGCGGTCCATCTAGTCCAGCATCCTGTCTCACACAGTGGCCAACCAGTTCCTCTGGAGGGCCAACAACAGGGCAGAGAGACCGAGGCCTTCATGAGAACACCAGAAGAGCCCTGTTGGATCAGAGCAGTGAGGGTCCATCTAGTCCAGCAGCCCATCTCACACAGTGGCCAACCGTGTTCTTCTGGAGCGCCAGCAACAGGGCAGAGAGGCCGAGGCCTTTGTAAGAATGTCAGAAGAGCCCTGCCGGATCAGACCGGATCCATCCAGTCCAGCATCCCGTCTCACACAGTGGCCAGCCAGTTCCTCTGGAGGGCCCACAACAGGGCAGAGAGACCGAGGCCTTCCCCTGATGTTGCCTCCTGGCTCAGGGATTCAAAGGCTTAGTGCCTCTGCATGTGAAGGTTTCCCTTCAGTCACCATGATTAGTCACAGATCTCTCCTTTAACTCACCGTGTCTTCACAACCAATAATGTTCTCATGTCCATATTCAGACTGCTTCTGCCTTGTGAACGGCAATGCCTCTCATATCTCCAGTGACTGAAGTTGCTCTTTGCGTGTTTTAACGCCTTTGAAATCTCACTGAGCTTTGGGTTGGTTCTTAGCCTTCAAATGTTTTATTTTCAATTTTTCTTTTTGCCTCACCACTCCTCTTTTTTTATTTAACACACTTACCATGGACATCAAATACCCACTCATAGAAACCTTAAAGGGTTCCCCAGATTATCTGTTCCAGGGGTTACACTAACTTGGGAAAAAGGATAGAATTTGTGTTTCCTTCCACCCCTACCTCTTTTTAATCAGATATTGACGGGCTCAGTCACCGTATCCTGTCGACTTTTATCTTTATCCTTTATCTGTAAACTTACGTAGGACCTGGTATACCGTTTGTATTGATGCTCACATTTTTGATTTCTTGGGGAGCTCACCTTTCAAACGAATAAGAATCAGATCTATTTTAGAAAAACTGTGATGCAGGTAAGAGCAATAAGTTTAGTCTTGCTATTTGGGATGTGCCCTCCGGCAACCGTCCTTCCTGTCTGGTCCCTTCAGTTCTTCCAAAAAACCTTTTTGGGAAACTTCCCAATTTATTTTTTTGTTGTTTGTTGTTCAGTCGCACAGTCGAGTCCGACTCTTCCCAATTTATTTGCCTTCTGTTTATTTGGAAAACTTATATGCCACCTCTTCATAGACCCGTTCGAAGCGACTTGCAACTAAAAACAACCGCCCGGCGCCATTAAAACCAAGCAAAGGCTCTCCTCTCACCTATCCATCGCATTATTATTATTTTGTTCCACAAAACTTTTTATTTTGGGATATAATATCACATTTAACATTTTGTTTTACTTTTCAAATACTCATATTTCCCTTCCCCCACACCCTTACTAATGGCTTCCCGCAGTGCTCCACCCTTTGTTCTTTTACACTTCATATATTTACCTCAGTAACTTAACTTCTATTGCAAGATAACATTTCTATCAATATTGTTCTAAATACAGTAAATTGTGTTTCACATCCCAGTTACCCTCTAGATAGTCTTTAAATTCTTCCTATCCATCGCATTATTAAAATGCTTTCCCCCCCACCCATATTCATTCTCCTATATGTGGAAATTCCTCTAGAAGGGCGATGGCCATTCTTTTCACCTGGAGGCCAGAGTATGCCTTATCTCCATCTTCTTTTTCATCTTAGTATTCAATCTCAGAGAGCCTTAAAGTGCTTTGCGCTTGTAGCAGCTGCACCTTCAGTGTGTGCCAACGCTCTTTGGGTATGAAGCAGGAAAGATCACACCGTGATGGGTCATGAGGCATACAGTGGTGCCAGCAAACCCTTCTGGGGGCTCCTAGCATTGAGGCTAGCTCTTCCTCTTGTTATGCGCCAGGGCTGGTTGCTCGCACAGCAGGGGGCTCAGCTGGCGAAAACTGTGGTCGTCCTGAGGATCCGGGAACGTTGCTGTCCTGCTCAGGAAGGGTGTCTGTTGAAGCAATGCGATGGCACGGTCAGTGACTTAACACCACTGTGTGTGACGTTGATTACCTCACGGCGACTGACACGGAGGCTCTGTTTCCGGAAGAGCCTGGTGGTCTGTTGCCAGGAAGACCGAGAGGGAAAGCATTATGATCACTCTGCGCCGGCTCAGGTTTAACACAGCGAGGTCTTACCGTGGGCCTGGGCACAGAAGGCAGGCTCATACCAAGTGGAGTTGGGTCTCTCAAGGTCGAGGTGATGTAGGGACTGTGAGTAAGGGAGGGGTCTTCGTGGAGCCTCACTTTAATGACTCCTAATGTAACCTTGTCTGTCGGTTGGTCTGGGCTGCGGCAAGACGCCATATACTATATGGAGCCTCACTGGTCTCCAGGGCTCAGTATCCCTGCTAGATGGTGAGTCTTTGCGGCCACCTTGAACACCTGGAGCCAATTTGCTTTTACTCCGCAGGATGCTAAATCTGATGTCTTTTGGCCTTCACGGCTAATAAAACCGCAGCACAGCAGGGGAATCGAACTTTCAGTCCCGGGCTTTTTGGCGTGTCTCGAATTCTTTTCCATCAGCAGAATATTGAGTAACGTTGAACATGGGCTGGAGAAAGGTGAGCGAACAAAGGGAGGCGAAGTCTCACAGGGGTGATGGTGGTCCAGAGCAACTGTCTCCCTTTTCGATCCTTTTCCTCTTTGGTTGATCCGGAGGCCCACGTTGCTCTCTCGTGGTCTCGTCGGGTCCAGTTTGCTTTCCATGATCTTGGTCTATGTTTGCCAACAGAGTGAAGTAAGCAGTTGAATGGAACTCATTATGTAGGATCACACACACACACACACACCCGTGCGTATCGTTCTTAACAGCAAGTGAGTTCCAAACAAACACAGAGCCACTGGCCCCGATTTGTAAGGGATGGATCAGAGAACCCCCTCGGAGATCCGCTTCCTACATGGCATTGTTTCGGCAACCGTGTCTCAGCAGGGCCCGTGGCCGATTTCCTGGCAGCCCCTACTTTGTGACCAAGGCGGAGGGTTTTTTAATAGTTCCCCTCTGCGGGAGGGTGGGATGGGCTTGGACGGCCACTGTTTCCCCATGCCCAGCAGACTTCCCTTTTGGGTTAAAGGGGGACCTGTTTCCTAGGAAAGGAGACAAAGGACAGATTTCCTTTTAAAAAAAAATAATAATCTGAGCCATCACTTCCTCTTGTTGCGCACCGTAATTCTATTCTGGTATTTCTGTAGCCAGGCGAGGCTTTGGACTCCTGCAACACCTGTCTGAGCTGAGACGATGCTGGAAGGGAAGCCGCGTGCCTGAGAACAGGAAGCCAGGCCTTGGCGGCCCTTTAAAGCCAGTTAGGAGCGCGGACTCTGATCTGGGAGAACCGGGTTTGATTCCCCACTCCTCCACTTGCACCTGCTGGATGA